ACTATTATACATCAAGGCAATTTTAAACTGATTAAGGTCTTTCTCTCCAATGAATAAGTTAGGCCATTTGAAAAGAATAACAGCGTTAAATATAAACAGAATGCATCCTCCTCAGTGAATCCTTTAAGTGATGTGCTGCTGTGCTCTCGCTTCATTCAGCATGAAGGTGACAAGAGACTTGCTGTCAGCTTACACCTACTAATGAAAAAAATGACTTTCTTCTCTTTCCTTAAAAAAGCAGTCTCTGACAAGTAAGTAAGGCAAATAATTTTTCATCAAAATGTATCTGATGATGACTCTACAGTGACCATCTCAGCACATAAATGGGCTTACCATTTTTATTTTTAAAAACTATAAAGCACCTCCATACCATTGTTTGCCTACTTCACCCATATTCTCTCTCTTTCTCATTTTTTTGTTTGTTTGTTTGTTTTGTTTTGTTTTGTTTTTTGAGACAGTGTCTCATTCTCTTGCTCAGGCTGGAGTGCAGTGGGGTTGCCATCTCTTCTCACTGTAACCTCCACCTCCCAGGTTCAAGCAATTCTCGTGCCTCAGCCAGCCTCCCAAGTAGCTGGGACTACAGGTGCATGCCACCACATCCGGCTAGTTTTGTATTTTTAGTAGAGAGAGATTTTTACCATGTTTGTCAGATTGGTCTTGAACTTCTGACCTCAGGCAATCTACCAGCCTCAGCCTCCCAAAGTGCTTGGATTACAGGTGTAAACCCCCACACCCAGCCTATCTTCTCTTTTTAATATTTTCTTCTGCACGGTAGTTTCACCATATTGGCCAGGATGGTCTCAATCTCCTGACCTCAAGTGATCTGCCCTCCTCGGTCTCCCAAATTGCTGAGATTACAGGTGTGAGCCACCACCCCTGGGCATGAAATGCATTTCTTAAATCATAATATTTGAAAGTAAAAATTACTCCTTGTCTCAGACTCCTTAGTAGCTGAGATTACAGGTACGCACCACAATGTCCAGCTAAGTTTTGCATTTTTTCAGGAGAGACAGGGTTTCACCATGTTAACCAGGATGGTCTTGCACTCCTGACCTCAGGTGATCTGCCCGCCTCAGCCTCCCAAAATGCTGGGATTACAGGCATGAGCCACCACACCTGTGCCCATATTTCTCTTTTATCACTGATAGCAACAGTGTTTCAAGCTAATCAAATATCTATATTAATCTGGCCTATATCCTAGTGTATTGTCCTCTTTTAAGTTGGTAAGATATATGCCCCAAAATGATATTTTCTGATTTGTAGTGATAAATACCAAGTTTACAAATTGTTTAGCCACCATAGTGAAGTAAAGAATTCTCATTCATCACATATTACCCCTTTCCTTAATTCAAAATGATCTTTAAAAATTCACCTGCAAAATGGAATGTATTTCAGCCATTCTAATTTGGGCAAAATGTGATTAAGGCATATTGCTTTCAGATTTGCACTGACCAGTGAGTGGTTAATTGCAGTATCAAATTTCATTATAAATTGCAACTGTTAAAATCACAGATGCAATTTATTTATTTTTATTATTATTTAAAAATAATTTTACCTGTCATTTTAGATTTAGTGGGTACATGAGCAAGTTGTTATATAAGTTCATTATGTGATGCTAATGTTTAGGGAAGGAAAGTTCCCATGATGCAGATAATGAACGTGGTACCCAATAGGTAATTTTTTCAGCCCCTCAGTTCCTCCCTCTCTGCACCCTCTGGAAGTCTGCAGTCACTGGGGTTTCCACTTTTATTTCCATATGCACACGATGCTTAGCTTCCACTTATAAGCAAGAACATGCATCCTGTTCCTGCATTAATTTGTTTAGGATGATGACCTCCAGTTCCATCCATGTGGAAGCAAAGGACATGATTTTGTTCTTTTTTATGGCTGCATAGTATTTCATGGTATGTACGTACCACATTTTTCTTTGTGATTGAGAATAGTATTGTGATGAACATATGAGTGCATGTGTGTTTTTGGTAGAATAATATACTTTCCTTTGGTTATATACCCAGTAATGAGGTAGCTGGTTCTATTTTAAGTTCTTTGAGAAATCTTCAAACTGCTTTTCACCATGGCTACACTACTTTACACTCCCACCTAATGGGAATAAGCATTAATTTTCTACATAGCCTTGTGGTCCTCTGTTTTTTTTTTTTTTTTTTTTTGTTTTTTTTTTTTTTTTTTTAAACATTTTAATAATAGCCATTCTAACTGATGTGAGATTTTATGTCATTGTGGTTTTGATTTGCATTTCTCTGTTGATTAGTGATGTTGAACATATTTTCAGATGTTTGATGGCCACATGTATGTATTCTTTTGTAAAGTGTCTGTTCATGTTCCTATCCACTTTTTAATGTTTTTTTTTTTTTTCTTGAGTTCCTCATGGATTTTGGATATTAAATCTTTGTTACATGCACAGTTTGTGAATATTTTCTTGTTCTGTAGGTTGTTTGTTTACTCTGCTGATATTTTCTCTTCTGCAGAAATTATTTAGCTTAATTTGATCCCACTTGCCAATTTTGATTTTGTTGCAATTGTTCTTGTGGACTTTCTCATAAATTCTTTGCAGTAGCTGATACTTAGTCATAAATTCTTTGCCATTGCTGATACTGAGAAGATAATTTACCAGGTTTTATTCTAGGATTTTTTTTTTTTTTTCTTTGAGACAGAGTCTTACTCTGTCACCAAGGCTGGAGTGCAGTGGCACGATCTCAGCTCACTGCAACCTCTGCCTCCTGAGTTCAAGCAAGTCTCCTGCCGCAGCCTTCTGAATAGTTGGGATTATTGGCATGTACCACCATGCCCAATTAACTTTTTATATTTTAGTTGAGATGGGGTCTCACCATGTTGGTTTTGAACTTCTGACCTCAAGTGATCCACCTACCTTAGATTCTCAAAATGTTAGGATTACAGGCTTGAGCCACCTCGCCAGGCCTGTTGGATTCTTGTAGTTTGTGTCTTATACTTAAATATTTAATCTATCTTGAGTTAATTTTTATACATGGTGAAAAGTAGTCAAATTCTATTCTTCTGTACATGGCTAGTCAGTTATCCCAGCATCACTTATTAAATTGGGATTTCTTTATCCATTGTTTATTTTTATCAACTTTGTCAAACACCAGATGGTGGTAGGTGTGCTGCTTATTTTTTTTTCCTCTCTTTTTAGTTTTCTATTTCATTTGTTTATGTGTCTATTTGTATGTTAGCAGCATGCTGTTTTGTTTACTATAGCCTTATAGTGTAGTTTGAAGTCACATAATGTGTTGCTTCTGGCTTTGTTTCTTTTGCTTAGGATTGCTTTGGCTATTCAAACTCCTTTTTGATTCCATATACATTTTGGAATAGTTTTTCTAATTCTGTGAAGAGTGATGTTGTTAGTTTGATAAAGATAGGATTGAATCTGTAGATTGCCTTAGGCAATATGGCCATTTAAATGATATTGACTCTTTCAATTCACAGGCATGGAATGTTTTTTCATTTGTTTGTATCATCCATGATTTCTTTCAGGGCTGTTTTGCTATTTTGCTTCTATATGTATGTCTATATCTGTGTCTATATATAGATATAGATAGATAGATAGATAGATTTTTTTAAATTCTTTTGCCATTATTGTAAATGGGATTATGTTCTTAATTTGGCTGTCAGCTTGAACATTGTTGGTATATAGAAATTCTACTGATTTTTGTACATTGATTTTGCTGCATTTTCTAGGTATAGGATTATATTGTCAGTGCAGAGAGCTAATTTGACTCATTCTTTTTCTATTTGGATAGCTTTTATTTATATCTCTTGCCTGATTTTTCTTGCTAAGACTTTTAGTACTATGTTGAAGAAAAGTGGTGAGAGTTAGTATCCACATTTTATTTCAGTTCTTAGGGGAAATGCTTCCAGCTTTTGCTCATTCAGCGTAATATTAGCTGTGAATTTGTCATAGATGTCTCTTATTAGTTTGAGGAATGTTCCTTAGCTGCCTAGTTTCTTGAGGGTTTTTAACATGAAGGGATGATGAATTTTATTGAAAGCTTTAACTGCATCTATTGAGATAACCATATGGTTTTTGTTTCTAAATCAGTTTCTGTGGTGAATCACATTTATTAATTTGTGTATGTGGAACCAAGCTTGCATCACAAGAATCACTTAATCATGGTAAATTAATTTTTGATGTGCTGCTGGATTCAGTTTGCTAGTATTTTATTGAAGATTTCTGTGCCTGTGTTCATTAGGGATATTGGCCTGTAGATTCTTTTTTCTTTTTTTGATTATATTTTGATAGGTTTTTGTATTCGTGTGATGCTGACTTTGTTGAATGAGTAAAGGAGAAATCCTTTCTCTCCGATTTTTTTGAATAGTTTCAACAATATTGCTACCAGCTATTCTTCGTATGTCTAGTAGTACTTGGTTATGAATTCATCAGGTCTAGGGCTCTTAATGATTGGTTGGTTTTGTATTACAAACTCAATTTTGGTCTGCTCAGGATTTTTCATCTCCACTTTTCTCATTATTGGGAAGGGATGTGTTTTTAGGAATTTATCCATTCCTCTAGATTTTCAAGTTTGTGTACATAAAGGAGTTCACAATAGTATGTTATCATCTTTTGTATTTCTGGGGGAATAATGATCATGTAAACTTTGTCATTTCTGATTATGCTTATTTGGATCTCCTCCTATTTTTTCTTTGTTAATCTAGCTAGTAGTATACTGATCTTGTTTATCCTTTCAAAAAACCAACTTTTGGTTTTATCAATCCTTTATATAGATTTTTGGATCTTAATTTTATTCTGTTCTGCTCTAATTTCAGTCATTTTTTTTTTTCTTCTTCTAACTCTGAGTTTAGTTTGCTCTTATTTTTCTAGTTTCTCTAGGTGTGATGTTAGGTCATCAATTCGAGATGTTTCTATCTTCTTGATACAAGCATTTCATGCTATAAAATTTCCTCAGCACTGATTTTGCTGATTTTTTTTTTTTTTTTTTTTTTTTTTTTTTTTTTTTTTTGAGATCTGTGTGCCTTTATTAGCAGAGCCACTACTTGAGGGGGACGAAGCGGGAGGAGTGAGTGGCCCCGATGCCCGGCCGGCCGTGCTTCACGGGCTTGTAGGTGATGGAGAACTCGCCCAGGTAGTGGCCGATCATCTCCGGCTTGATCTCCACTTGGTTGGAAGTCTTGCCGTTGTAGACGCCCACCATGCTGCCCGCCATCTCGGGCAGGATGATCATGTCTCGCAGGTGCGTCTTCACCACTTCCGGCTTCTCCATGGGCGGCGCCTCCTTCTCGGCTTTGCGCAGGCGTTTCAGCGGCGAGTGCTGCTTCCGCCGAAGGCCCGGGTTCAGCCGCTGCCGAAGGCCCGGGTTCAGCCGCTGCCGCTGGCGCGCGCTGCGCAACTGCATCAGTTGCTCGTAGGACACGTCCAGCCGCTGGTCCAGGCCCAGGCCGCGGTCGGTGAACTTCCGGAAGGTCCGCTGCTGTTTCCGCTCTACCTCCGCCACCTTGCGTTTTACACTTTTCGTCACTTTTTTCCTCTGTTTTTCTTATTTTAAAGAATTATTTGTTTTCTACCTTAATATCATTGTTTATCTAAAAGTCATTCAGGAACAAGTTGTTTAATTTCCATATGATTTATGGTTTTGAGATAATTTATTGATATTGTGTTCTACTTTTATTTATCTATGGTCTGAGACTATGCTTGATATTATTTCAGTTTTCTTGGATGTATTCAGATTTGCTTTAGGACAGAGGATGTCATCAATTTTAGAGTATATTCCATGTATACATGAGAGGGGTATATATTCTGTGGTTGAGGGAAGAGTCTTCTGTAGATATGTGTTCCGTCTAATTGGTAGAGTGTCTAATTTAAGTCCGGAGTTTCTTCGTTAGTTTGCTGACTTGGTGATCTAGCTAATCCTGTCAGTGGAGTACTGAAGTCACCTACTATTATTGCATGGTCGTTTAAGTATTTTCCTAACTCTGAAAGTACTTGTTTAATAAATTGGATTGTTCCCATGTTAGGTGTATATATTTTTGGGACAGTTAAATCTTCTCGTTGATTTAAGCTCTTTATCATTATGTAATACCTTTCTTTGTCCTATTTTATCATTGTATTTTTAAATTTTGTTTTATCTGATATAATAATAGGGACTCTTGCTCTCTTTTGTGTTCTGTTTTTGTGTTAAATTTTTCTCTCTCCTTTACTTTGAGCCTCTGGGTTCCGTTACACTTGAGATGTATCTCTTTAAGACAGAAGATGAATGGAACTCATTTTTTTTTTTTTTTCAACTTGCCACTCTGTGCCTTTTAAGTGAAGGCATTTAGACTCTTTATGTTCAAGGTTAACATTGATATGTAAGCTTTTGATCCTATGATGAAGCTGTCAGCTGGTTGTTTCGTAGTTTCTGTTGTATAGCCGCTTGAGAGAGTCAATGGATTATGCACTTCAGCATGTTTTTGTAGCGGCAGGTATTGATTCTTCTTCTTCTTTTTTTTTTTTTTTTTTGAATTATTCAATTTAGAACTCTTTTAAAGACCTCTTGTAAGGTTGGGGTAGTGGTAACAAATTCTTTTAGCAATTTCTTGTCTGCAAAAGATTTGCATTTCTTCACTTTCGAAGCTTTTTTTTTTTTTTTTTTTTTGACAAGACATGAAGTTCTTGTTTGGAATTTATTTTCTTTCAGAGTGCCAAAAAATTGCTCCCCATTTATTGTGGCTTCTATGGCTTTTGCTGAGGAGTCCACTGTTGGCTTGTTGGGGTTCCACTTGAATGTAATCTGATGTTTTTTTAATTGACTTTGTGCAGTGCAAATACTGTATGTTTTGGTGATGTTTATTTTCTACAATTTCTCACAGGTGTTCTCTGGATATGTTTAATCTTGATGTCTACCTATCTAGCAAAATTTGAAAAACATTCTTGAGTTGTTCTATCAAATATGTTTTTCAGATTGTTTATGTTGTCTTGCCCTCTCTTATGAATGCTAATAATTCAAAGTTTGGTTGCTTTATATAATCCCATGTTTCTCAAAGACTTTGTTCATATATTTTAAATTATTGTTTTTTAAAATTTTTGCCTGAGTGGGCTAGTTCAAAAGAAACAGTCTTCAATACTTGACAGATGGAATTTAAAAGAGCAAATATTCTCTTGATGTTTATATGGCATCTTTTTTGATGTAAGGTAAGACAAACAATTATATTAGATTTATACTTCAAATCTACAGGTCTTCTTCTATAATACATACACTCTTAAAACAGTTACTATTATTATTCCTAAAGTCATTAACATTACTAAAAAGTTATAGCAAACATGAAGTCATACTGGAATAAAATACGTTTCTTCTCAGAGGTAACAAGAGAATCACTAGTCATTGACAACATAATGTTTCTGTGATAAAGCAAAGAGGCTTTTGGAAAGTGTTAAACTGACTATGTGTTGACTGAGAAGAGCTGAAGAAGCAATATAAAGTTTCAGTGGTACAAGTCACTGTGGGATGAAACTCAGGAAAGACAAACATAACTTCGAGAAGGAAAAGGTATTCAGAATATGGCTGCTGCCTAATGGAAACACACACACACACGCACACACACACACACACACACATACACACACACACTCATACACACACACACACACATACACACACACACACACACACACACACACACACACAGTGTCCTACTAAGAACATGGTCTTCCATTTATTTATAAAGCTTTGTTGAAAAATTGTTTTAATTTAAAAATAATGTTTTCAATGTGAATCTGTCTATGCATTTCCCCAAATTGTTAAAAAAGAAAACTATGGATGAAAGCTAAATTTATAAACCAGGGAGGTAGACACATACTATTAACTGAGAATGTTTTAAATAAGAATTTACATTATAAATATATGTATATATTATATATAGGCTTTTTGATATTTTCCTCTAGCAAAGCTTTATTTTCTTATCAAAACTGGTATTGTCATTTGGGTTTTCACAGTCCAAGTCTACAATTTTATACATCTCCATTGCATTTCTCAATAAAATGGTAGTAACTTCTACCCTTACAAGTGCACTGAACCTGATTTTTAAAAACTCATCAAAGATTCTTTGTTGCTCATGCAGTGGACTTCTCACTCAGTGTAAAAACTAAAAACATTTGAAATTATTGACTTTTTATTGTCTTTACTCTTATTGCACATAGGATTATTCCTGTGACACTTACCCTTTGGTTTTTAGGAAAAAAAATATATATATATATATATATATATATATATATATATATATATATATAACTTATTTCCTTATTTGATTATAAGCAAATTTATTGAGTATGCACTATTGTTCTGTATTTTATGTATAAACTTTCACAGTTTGGTGGGTGACAAAATATTTTATGAATGAGCAAATTAATGATCATCTGTCATAAAATATGTATTTATCTCTCTTTAGACATATGAATGTAGGTATGCCTAAAGATGTGTATACCATCCATCTGCAGTTAAAGAAGAGTGCTTCGTTTCGCATTATGCATTCTCTAAAGGATTTAATCTAATTGATACACTTTATCTAAAGTAGAATGTGTTGAGGATGGCACAACGTTTTATTTGAATATGTATTTAAGTGCTAATTTTTATCAGGCTCCAGACTATCATGCAACCAGTCACAACCTACTCCACTGGCTCTCATTCTGTTGGGGGGCAGAAAACAATACGCTAAAATAAAGGCTTCAGAAACAGCCTCGGAAGAAAAAGTTTCTCTCTGACTTTCTCATGCCCTCCTGTCTCTCACTCTTATTTTCCCCGGAGTCAAGCCATAGAAACTAGAAGCTCTCTTCCTCATGGTTAATCATAGAAACCAGAACACTTTTTACCCATATATGGCTGTAAAACCTAATAAAATTACTCTTTCTCTTGCTGTCCTGTGTAAAAATCAGCCATAAGGAAATTATCTGACCTACTTTGTTTGACTGTAGGTCATAAGACCCTCATTTCAGAAAGATTCCTGTCCCATAGCCAGAAGGACGGAAGGCTGCATTGAAGATTCTGGACAGACAGGCCTTTTGGGGCTTCCTCTTTCAGTCTAATAGATTGTGAAAACATAACCCTTGTGTTCAATCACAGTTCTACAAGACCATCCATTCTTCATTGAACCTAAGCTTTAAAATGGACAATTTCTCTTATATCTTTGGGTCTTCATTCTGAAAACTTCTATGGTGTGTAAGACTATGACCAAATACATTGATATGCCTTTTCTCAGTTGATGATTTTTTTCCAGTTTGATTTTTAGTAAACCTTCAGTGGAATAAAAGGAAATTTTTTCTTTACCCCTATAATTCTATTATAGAGATAAATAATTTTCACTGAAATAAATTTTGAATTTTTTTTTCATTGATGACCTGAGCTAACATTTTAAAAGGATTATGAAGTCAAGGGTGACTAGAATTGCTATTTTAAATTACATTTTCAAGGAAGTCATGTTGGAGGGAAACTCTTTGTGTTACGGTTTGTTTATTTTTCAGTTTAATCTAAAGTATGCTGTAATAACAATGACATAAAACCTCAATGGCTTACTACAATAGTTAATTTATCCTTCACATGAAATGTGGAATGGACTTTTAGTGGAAACATAAAAGTGTAAGTAAAATTAAATATATATATGTGTGTGTATATATATATATATATATATATATATATTTCCAGTTTATTCTGTAATTATATGGAGATGTAGAGGATTTACAACTGTTAAATGTGAAAAACACCAATAGCAAATGGCTCACAATAACTAATTTCAAAGATTTTTACAAAACCATAAAAATATGATATTGCCATAAATAGAGACAAAAAGATCAATGAAACAGAAGAAAAATACAGAAAACTGAACACACAAGTTTGGATATAGAATGAAATAAATTAGTCTTAATAAATAGGGTCCTAAGACAATTCTGTGGCAAATAAGTTTCTTTTTTTTTTTTTTTTTTTCATCATTTTTATTCAGGAAGAGTCTCCCTCATGAGGAGATAACCTGAATGACTGAATATACATTCACACATATGTTAATTGCAGCACTGTTCACAAGAGCAAAGACTTGGAACCAACCCAAATGCCTATCAATGATAGACCGGACAAAGAAAATGTGACACATATACACCATGGAATACTATGCAGCCATAAAAAAGGATGAATTCAGAACAGGGTGTGGTGGCTTAAGCCTGTAATTCCAGCACTTTGGGAGGCTGAGGTGGGCAGATCACAAGATGAAGAGATCGAGACAATCCTGGCCAACATGGTGAAACCTCGTCTCTACTAAAAATAGAAAAATTAGCTGGGTATGGTGGCGTGCACCTGTAGGAGGCTGAGGCAGGAGAATTGCTTGAACCCTAGAGGCGGAGGTTCCAGTAAGCCGAGATTGTGCCACTGCAGTCCAGCCTGGTGCCTAGCAATAGAGTGATACTCTGTCTCAAAAAAAAAAAAAAAAAAAAAAAAAAAAAAAGATGAATTCATGTTCTTCGCTGGAGCATGGATGAAACCGGAAAGCATCATTCTCAGCAAAGTGAGATGGGAA